AGACTCGAATCCAAAAAAAACGCAACTTCGAAAAAATAACGACGCACAGTGAAAAATCAGTAAAAATTAAGCAGTGACGCAACTTCGAAAAAAAAAACGCAAAACGAAACGACGCAAAGCGAGGTATTGGTGTACAGTGGTACCTCGACATACGAGCGCCTCGACATACGAGTTTTTCGAGATACGAGCCGATGAGCAAGTGATTTTTTGCTTTGAGTTACGAACGAAATTCGAGATACGAGTTCGGTTCGGTAGTGTTGAAGATATTAATCTGTGATTTTAAATGGGAATTTTGTATGGGGGGAAATTTGCTACGAGATACGAGTAATTCAAGATACGAGCAAGGAACGAATTAAACTCGTATGTCACCACTGTATTTTAAAGCGTCATCATAAGGCTTTCTTTTCAGTAATCATCATTTCTCTGAAGTATAAACAACCTAGCTTCTGTTTGCTCCTAAAATGTCAACTTTTGTACCAAATGATGTGTTTTTGCGGGGAGTTTTACTTCAATTTGAAGAAAAAAGCTGCAGAGAGTCATCGTAGTTTAGGATGGCCATGCTCTAGCGCTGAACGAACGTGTCAGAAAGTGGTTTGTACAGTTTAAAAGTGGAAATTTTGTTGTGAATCATTCTTTATCATCGCTAGTAAAAGTTTTCAATAGAGTGAGGCAATAGTGCTTCCTTCTGAATCACAATTATATGAAGAACTGCTTCTTATATATAAACTAGCCGAATGACCCGAGCAACGCCCGTGTTTTACCCGATTGAATGTTTTATTCAAATACTATTTGTTACAATTATAAATTGGCGCCTTAAATAAATGCACATATTAGTTAATAACTATAGCCTATGTGCTTTATCTGTCTATGTACTGTTAGCTTCCGTAGGCGTCTCTTACTGGGAAAAAAAAGAGAGGATTCCATTTAGTTATTAACTAATATATGCATTTATTTAAGGAGCGACCCGCTCCAACACAATAGTTACAAAAAAACAAAAAGCGAGTGGGGGGGGGGGCGCATGATGGGGGGGGTGGGGGGGGCAAAGGTGGCGTGATCGTAGCCAACCAATAGGAGAGCGCCATTCCAAAAAAAAGAAGCAAACGGTGACAGAGATGAAGAATTATTAAGAACGCATGACGCTCGTAACTGTATATAGAATATATATTAAAATCAAAAAAGACATATCCTGACAAAGAGCTCATGAGGTTTTTTTTTTTTTTTTTTGATGGCAGAGGGTCATCAAGTGGAACAGAAATCAACTAAACGTTGATTTAGCCTATTGTTCCCTGATATATGGCCCAACCCATTTTTCTCGATAAACCAAGAAAAGTCAAACACGTACGCGTTTCGGGCTGTTGGCCCTCGTCAGCGTGAAGTAGGCTGTACACTTACGATATATATATATAATAACTCTAATTATCTTAACGGTATTATTCGATACAGCTTGCTGTTCTTACTCAAAGTTAAATTCAAAATCTGTATTTCTTAATATTTTACTTTTCCTCTTTTTTCCAAAATTTACTATTAATATATATATATATATATATATTAAAATTAAAAAAAGACATATCCTGACCAAGAGCACATGTGCTTTTTTGATGGCATAGCGCCATCTAGTGGAACAGAAATAAACTAAATGTTGATTTAACCTGTTCCCTGATATTTGCCCAACCCATTTTTTGATAAATCAAGAAAAGTCAAACATGTACGCGTTTCGGGCTGTTGGCCCTCCTTATCGTGGTGCAGGCTGTACCTCTACAATATATATATACATGTCGTAAACCCGGGTAAGCCAACAAGTGAGTTGGAAGCAGTCGGGGCTGAGTGGCAAGGCGTGCAGGCCGCACGGGACAGTAAGGACAAAGTTTGGGATCAAAAGACGCTCTCCTAGTGCGTCTCACGTGGCACCAGGACCAGGGGGAAATTGAGTATTAACTGAGGAAAGCTCGGCGTCCTGCATGAAGCCGCGGAGGCAGAGAGGAGCCAAAACGGCGGCCACGAGGGCCGCCGTGAGATGGCAACTAACTTAGTATATAGCGGGCCTGTCCGAAAATATCCACTGTAACCTAACTAACTGTCAACATCCGGACCAACGCCCCTTCTTTGTCCCTCTCTGGATCCCCCGGGTGTCCAGTGGCAAGCTGGTGTCACTTTGAGACGACTAGAAAAGACGTCATACTTTATTACTTACATATCATATTGTTTAAATTACGATATATATAAGTTGAATATATTTTTTAACTGTTTATATCTCAGTAAGTACTGGTTGAAGATACTAATTTGGTAGTGAATTGATATACAGTAAAAATGTATCAATAGTACGGGTTTCGAACCCCAGAGTAGCTGTGTTGGGAGTCAGTCAATAAATGCTATCTCTCACATGTACGTCACGGTTTCACAAGTCGGGTCACGTCTTCCTTCAACTCAGGTTTTGGTTTCTCTCTTGTTTACTGGAATAGTTTCTTTTCTTAGTTATCTTGTGATGGTTAACTTTACATTTCCACCTTATAATACCACTATCTCTCTCAATTTGGAACTACCTAGCTAAGTACTGTAATATACTAGTCAAATAAATAATGTCATTTAAACATAAGGCGCACCATTATGTGGCGAATAAATAATTTATTGCCTGAAAAAAGGAGGAGGGGGAGCAGTAACAAGCTCACTAAAAAACCTGGGCCCGGCTGATAGTACCCTGTAAGGGCTCCAGGTATACAGGATGAGCAGCGTTTGTACTCCATGTTAGGAGCGGCTGCACATGGCATCTGTTCCTCATGTCAGAGGCGGCCATTTCTTTTGGAGCTAAGTCAGTGGCCTGCCACTGAGTAGTGCTCCCATTCTTGATGACAAAGGCAGACGCATTCTACTTCACCCAGTGTGGATATAAGAAAAAAGAAGAAGAATATTTAATTATTCAATGAAAATATTTGGAAATAGATTTATTATTTGTAAAATCATTATTTAGTTACCTAGCTTGTTTGCTCGATATTCTCTAGCTGTAGATAGTTTGGTTGGTTTGTTAATAATTGTCGACTGGTCGCCGTGACGTCATCAATAAATACTTTCACATCTCCAGATATACAAAGACCTGATTTCTACGCTACAATATAAAATAAAAGGGCTTAAAATCGCGAAAGTTTCTTTTATACATAAAACGAACCTCTACTGTCCTTACTGCGATGAAAAAATATATTGGGAGGGCTTGGCTCATCAGTGGTGAACCCTCCTTAACTATATTTATAGTTAATACACGTAACTATTTAGGTCGAATTTTCTAAAATAAAACAACTTACTATATTTTCTACTACACACACAATAGGAATAAATATTGGAATGAGAGATTGGCTTTTTAGTGGCGAACCCTTCAAGCGGTTTCGCCAGTTTAATATTCCAGACCACTCTAATATTTTAAAATATTAAACTAATCTACAATATAGCGCCCCCTCTAAATAGCACCTTCCTCTCTATAGCGCCCGATTTTAAATACATAGTACGATGCGATTTACATTAAAAGTAGCCTGTCTATAGCACCCCATCTCTATAGCATCCTATTTTGGTGAAGTCCCAAGAGGGGGCGCTATAGACAGGTTTAACTGTATTATTAAAAATATATATTTTTTAAATATAAAATATAAAAATTATTTTAAAATTATTCTTTTACTTTCTTTTTACTTTATTTGTTTGAATAAATATTATCATGATTCTGTCTTTAGCTCTTTTTCTATTCTATCTTCACATCTCTTCCATATTTTCTTCTTCTTCATATGTTCCCCATAAATGACGAGTAACTGACGATGCTTTTGCATGAACCTTGTTATATCCCTTTATTGTTATTTAAAAATTAAAAATCTTTTTGAAATTTCCTATTATTTTTACTTTAAATTTTCATTTTCCCAATTTTCTTTCTGTTTTAATCATTTTAATTGTTCAATTAGCTATATCAAGGACCTAATTTATATTAATGATTATTAAAAAATGATATAAAAGTCACCTCTCCCGTCAAAATAGACGCTAAAACTAAGCACTATCTATTGACCGTCTGTGCAAACTGAGAAGCATCCACCTGGAAATGATGGTTTCAGGC